ACTGAAAGGGCTGGCCTGTGGCTCACTTAGGAGAGTGTGGTGCTGATAACACCAAGGCCACGGGTTCAGATCCCTTCATAGGGATGGCTGGTTTGCTCATGTGGGAGAGTGTGGTGCTGACAACACCAAGTCAAGGGTTAAGATTCCCTTACCGGTCATCTTTTTAAAAAAAAAACAAAAAACAAAAACGTACTGACTGAATATCTGAAATTGAACTCCTCACCTTGCCCCTTGGCCACGCTCCTCCTTCTTGATTTAAGTCATCATCTTTCCAATCCCCAAGGCTCAAAACTTGGAGTTATGTCAGACTCTTTTCCCACTGCCACCAGCCAATCAGTTGTCATGTCCTAATGTCCCCTTGAATTTATAAAATTTGTTCCCTCTTTTAATGCTGTTAAGGGAGTTATTGGGACTTAAGTAGAAAGTGCACGAGTTTTGGAGTCAGATGAATTTAATGCTAATTCCACTACTTCTTAGCTTTGTGGCCTTAAGTGAATTACAGTACGTTTATGGGCCTCGGTTTTTCTCATCTTTATAATGGGGACCCACCACCCACCTTTTGAACAGATGATGAAAGGATTGCTGATGTTAGGAAGAGGACTGTGTAACACATAGTAGGTATCCAAAACCAGACAGTTCTTCTCTTTTCTTGGGGGGGAACACTGGTTTTCCATCGACAGTTGTTTTCTATTTCATCCCTTGCCTGCACTCTGCAGTGCTCCCCTGTTCTCCCTCTTCTTCACAGCTGTCACCAGTGCCACTGCTCACAGGGTAAAGTCCAAATCCCTGAGCCGGGCATTCTGTGGTCTTTTCTTCACTACATGCTCCCTCATACCTGTGCTGCTTCTGCCTCAGGACACTCATCTTCCCTGAACATCCTGTGGTTTTCTGACTCCTCGGCCTGTGCTCCAGCCATTTTACTTACCTCCAGAGCTTCTCCATCTCCTTCCACCCACTGAAATCCTACTCACTCATCAGAGCCAATTCAAATGCTCTCCCTCATCCTCAGAGCCTCCCCTCCAATGTTTTCAAATGGAATTCACCTGCCCCTTTTCTGTAGCTACTGAACCTTACTGTGGAGTTGACTCAGCAAGCCTTGACTCAGTTAACTAGGTATGGGTCTGCCTCCCCTACTGGACTGTAAACTTGAAGCAGGGTTTGAATGTATCTTTGGGCTACAAGATGCTCAGTTGACCTGCACTGAATAGCTTCTCCCAGATCTTTTTCCTAACTTAACCCAAATCTGCCCCAATCTCAATCCCTAAATTGCCTTTCCATCTCACTCGTCTCTTTCCCAATCTTGTTTCTCAAATCAAACTCCAGCGCAGCCTCCACTGAGACTAAACTCCTGGTTCCCGCTCTAGAGAAAAGATACACATGCTTCCCCCTCCCCAGTGTTTCATGGTAGGCACTGAGTCACCTCTTGGGGATCCCTGGGCCCCCCTCCCCACCCCACTGTGGTGGACAGGATGCCTGCTGTCTTGGCCTCAAGGGGTCAGAGGAAGCCAGGGCCTCTAGGGCTCAGTATTTTTATCAGCCTAGGAAACAAGACACACGGAAGCGGAAACCATGTGGTCAGAGAAAGTGAACAGCCCTCATCTCAGGGGAACCCCCACTAGGGCTGGGGGCCAGACACCAGGGAGGGACATTGAAAAGAGGCAGGTCTGGGGGCCAAGGTATCAGGGCTTATTTTGCTTTGGTTTTATGTAACTCTCACAGAGAGGGAAATGATGTGCTTTGAAACCAGAGAGAAGCCTTCCGGGTGGAGGAACAAATTTGGACACTGAAGTTTTCTTTTCTTACCTCTCAACCCCCAGCCTAGGGATCCTAAACCCAACTCCCCCCAACTCCAAACCTAGGCTCTTTGCATGCCACTTCCGAAATCTCCAGCCTGTGAGAGGAACCGGAAACCAAGGTCACTCACAGCTTGAAGTCTCTTCTCTGAATCACAGCAGCTTCCTCTCTCACAGGACCTTTCTTACCAGCCCTTCCCCCTCCTGCCCCCTGAAAATCTGCCTGGTCCTTTGGAGGCCTTGGGCCTCTTCCTAACATCAGGCTCTCTGTCTTCTGCGAGGGTCTCATGCCCACCCCATGTTCCCATGTTTCCAGAAGCTTCCCCTCCCTGTCCTCTACCACCTTCCACTTCCACTCCTGGGGTTCTCCTGTATAAACCTGGGCTCAAAGCCTGAAAAAGAAGTTTCTGATAAGATCCTCTGATGTAGACAAACACAGACTGTGCACTCTCCAATTTCCTATCCTAGTTTCCAGGGAGCTAGAGTGGGGAGTTGAGTAATGAATAGTGGGAGAGATGGAGATACCTCCCTCCTCTATGGGGATCCCAGACCCTCTCTCTCCACCTGTCAGGACTTCATCACCAGTTCTTGGAAAAGGAGATGTTTATGTGGAAGGCAAAGCCTAGGCTGCCCAGAGATGAAGCATGGGGATTGGGGATGGGGACAGAAGCTGGAAGGAAGAAATGAGAATTGGGGCCCTGGAGGAGGAGACTGAGAAACTAGAGGGCAGGACTAGCTGGGAGCCTAGCAGCCTGGCTGGCCTTGGGTGTGGATCTCTGGTTGCCCAAGAACAGACAACCCAGGTTACATAATTTGGCTCTTTCTGCCTCCTTCCCCTGCTCCTAATTTTAGCAACCGAAATTCCACTCCCCCACAGAACTCTTCCTCTATCCATTCTGCTTCTATCCCCTGTCCTCCCCCAGCCTCCTCATGGCCCCCCAGCCCTAGCTGCCCCCAACTCGGCTCCTTCAGTGACTCAGCAAAGGGAAAGCCCTGTGATGGGGGAAGAGGGTGTTAAGTGGGGAGGAGGATGTGGTTCTGCTTGGGGAGCTGGGGAGGGGAGCGAAACTGGTTTTGTTCCCCTTTTGGCCTCTGTTCACATCTATTTCTCCAGCTGCAGACTGCAGAGTGGACGGACCCCAGTGTAGGGAGCAGAGTGAGATGAGGGCAAACTGGGCCTTTTTAGAGCTGGCTTGAGGGTGGGCAAGCAGGGGATTCTTGTTGTTAGCTGAGGGCATGCACTAGCGCCTGCGTGTGTGTTGCAGGTGTGTAGGAGCTGTGGGTTTCAGCAGGCAGGGCGGGAAAGGAGATGTCATGGGTGATAAAAACCACAGCAATGGAACAAGGCAGAGGAGACGGCAGGAGTGAAATGTGGAACCAGGTCTTATTAGGAAATGGCAGAATCAAGGAGCAATGTTGGTGGCCCTTATCCCGCCAACCCTGCTCGTTACAAGTTCTGCTCCCACCCCACATCCTCTGCCATGCAGCATCTGACTCTTCCTCGTTATCTCCACCTGTCCTCACCCTTCCTTCTACCTGCCCCTGAGGCTGCATCCCAGTTTCTCGCTCTTTCCCTAGGGTCACTTGAGGGCCTCTGCATGGCGATTCAGGGCCTGAGAAAGGGCTGTCACAGCTCCCATTACACGGCCCAGCTCCCAGGTCTCAATCTGGCTTCGAAATCGCTGCAGGAAGCGGTCAGGGTGCCAGCGGACCTGCTGGACCCTCAAGTACCTCCTCAGAGCACCCTGTTCCTCCAAGGGAGGGCCCCTGGCCACAAGGGCTGCAGCCATGGCCTCTGGGTCTCCTCCCCCAGGGCAGGGCCAGGGCACATCACCAAAGCGCCAGAGGCTGCCCCTTCCAGCCCCTCTGGGGTGCTCTGCCCTAGGCCCAGCCCTGGCTGGCTCTGGCCCTTGGTCCCCTTGAGCCTCCTGGGCCCTCCTGGATCGGCTTTCATGCAGTTCTTCCTCTTTGGCCTGGGATCGCTCTTGGAAGAGCCGCTGCTCTTCCTCCTGCTGTCGCCAGTTGTGACTGGAGCCCTCAGCCCGTGAGGGTCTGCCGGATCTCTCTGCTTCCCGCTGCTGCTGCTGGTGCTTCTGGGCATGTTCCCGGGCCAAGCGCTCTGACCAGGCTGAGAAGGATTCAGGTTCCTGGGCCTCACGGGAAGCGTCATCTGTTTGGGAGGTGGGATGGGGCATATCAGAGAGAGGCTGTGAGAAGGTGATGGGGCATGAGAGACAAGTATAGAGGAAGGGGCAGAGGAGTCTTGTGTGGAACATTCATGTAGTGGGCAGAGGAAAAGTGGCCAACGGGAAAGAAGGGCAGCTGTGGATGGCAATGGATTCCTCACCTTCAAATCTCCCAATGACCTCCTGCCACTCGTCCTCCAGCTCGCCTTGCAGCTTCTGCCTCCATTCCTGCTCCTTGGAAGCCTCATCTTCTTCCTCCTCTTCAGCAGAATCCCAGGGAGGTCCCCAACCTAGAATTTGCCCCGGGGTCTCCCCATCCTTGTTCTTTATTCCCATGGCAGAGGGACAGCGACTCAGCAGTGGCAGGAAGAAGTCTGTGTAGGCTGTTGGTGGGAGAGGAGTGAGCAGAAGTTAGCTGGGACTCCTGCTCCTTGGGAGGGCCACCATCTTGGACGCTGCTGGTCACTCACTCCCTTGGTCTTAGAGCAATGGAAAGGGTGGCCCACATGGCTGCCTCCTGGGTATTAGGAAATAACCATCACTTGCAAATACATACTCATAGTTTACCATATGCACGATAAGTGTGGTAGTTTAAAATATTCTAACCTGTGTCCCCACAAACTATTTTAGTGTCCTGGGAATTCTATAATGTCAAATGACGTTTTCCAGCCTGCCTCCAGCCACCTAGGGTAATGTCAAAATCCTTTGACTATGTATTCCACTTTTGGCTTGAAAGTCTTGTCACTATATATCCCTTCTTGTATTTCTCACCCAAAACTACACGTCAGACCGGTAAAATATCTGAACACTCTACTCTGAACCATTATAAATATACAAATACGTTAACATTTATCTTTTTATATCACTTTTCAATATATTGAGTAAAATAAATGTATTCAGGAGATCTTCTCTCAGCCACCCTTACCCAGGGAGGGGAGTGGCAGGTAGACCAGCAATGAGTTTGAGCCACAGAAATGTTGCCAGCAGCAGAGCTCTTTCCAAATGACTGCTGACCTAGGGCAGGGGAAAGGGGCCTGAGATAGGGGGTCTCATCCAGGTACTAGGAGAAAACAGAAGGGGGACTGACATTCCTGAGTTCCCCTCTTCCTGAATCCTGACCTCACTGCATATGGTCCAGGTTTAGCTAAGTGCCATGTTGCTTGCTTCACTGCCAACCCAGGCACCTTGGCCAGGCCCATCTGCTCTGGCCACCAACCACCTCTTTAACTCAGTGGACAGGGGAAGGTGAAGGAGGCAGCCTTCCTTCCTGCAGACCTGCTTTCTTTCTCTAGGGTAGGAGGAAATGGACCGGCAGTCCGCCAATATTTATGCTGTGGTGCTGGAATGTACCTTTTACCTTGCAGAAGGACAGGAAAAGGGTTGAACTGTCACTGCCAGGAAGGCAAGAAGACAGAATGGGCCCAGCCTTGGTTGGCCAAGGCCCAGCCCCACCAAACCACTTCAGGGTGAGAGGAAGGAGCACTTCTTAGTACTGGTGTGACCTGTCACAAGTCCTCCCAACTTGTCCCACCCAGCAAGTACCTGTTCCTGTCTTCAACTGCTTATTCCTCACTAGGGTTCACTGCAGATGTGAGGGTGGGTGTGTGCTCAAGCTGGCATGAGAGGTTTTAAATTCATA